GAACCCTGTGACTGAACAACCACGTTAAATACTTCATAAAATTAGGACACGTCTGTGTCAAGTTGCCTCAGAAATGTATCCATGTTACTTTTAGGATTGACTGTTGTACTTCCTTATTATCAGACTTTCCTAAAAGCTCTCTGAAAAGTCTTCAGTTGATTGAAAATACCACAGTGAGAGTACTAGCTTCACTCTCAGACTGCAGGCTTGTAGTTATATTTACTAGTTGTTGTTCATGTTCTCTGTATGCAACATTTTTCTCCCCCCTTTGGTTGATCCTGCTTCTACTGGCTGTCTCTTGATGTTAAAATAGAGTTCTTCCTCTCCACAGTCACCAAGTGCTGCTCGCAGGGGATCATTTCATTGTTTGGGTTCTCTCTCTAATATTCTTACAAACAAAGGGTCTCGAGATGACTTTTAGTGAAAACAGCTTATCAAGTCTGCTTGTAAAAAGAAGTTTTGTGTGTGAAAGTGCAATGATAAATAAAGAGGAAGCTTAAAAGATCCTTCGACATCCTCTTTTCTTCTTTTTGTCACGTTAGGCGTCTTTACTCAGTTCGACAGCTCAGTACACACCCTGACTTTGCTTACTTCAGCATGACTTTGCCACAAAGAGTCAGCTCTGCTGGTCAGAAGTTTTTCTGTTTTTGTTTTTCTTTCTTCTTCCAGGAAGTAAAAGCCTTGAATGATTAAAGCACTCAGCTATCCGATAGTGTAAGTGCTGCCCAATTAATCCCTACTGTCTCCCTTGGCACTGGCCCATTCTTCCACCTAAGTAGCTTGATCTGTATCAGCCCGGGTGCCAAGGAGCACCTGATACTGTGGTGCCTGAGGTTTTGCACTTGAGGAAAAAGGCTTTTAGTAAATCATTAATAGTCTCTAATAATATTTTCTAATATTATTATACAATAGTAAAAAATATTGGATGTCTGTGGAGAGATGGGGTCAGCAGAGGTGAAATGAAAAGCTTGTGCGGTGATACATGTTAATATTTATCAGGAGCACACCCGTGCATGTCTTTACCTCCCGTGGTTTCCTCTCCAGGTGGGGCTGGTGTACATGTTCAACCTGATTGTGGGGACCGGAGCTCTGACGATGCCCAAAGCCTTCGCTCAAGCCGGGTGGGTGGTCAGCTTGGCCCTCATCACCTTTTTAGGATTTATGAGGTGAGTGTTGCTCTGATCCAAACTGAGTTAAATAATAATAGTCATTGACTTCCAGCTCTGCCTTTTTTTTCTGTCTGGCATTCACAGATAAACGTGGGTTTCTTTCTTTGGTTGATATTTGCCACCCAGAGGCCTTCTTTTACTTCCTCTTTCACTAATAACACGGCACATTTTAAAAACTCTATTGTGTCCAGGTTGCTTTCTATTAGGACTGCGTGATTATGCCGGTTGTGATTTGTTCG